AACCACTGGATAGAGCAAAACAAGCTCTACAAGATGGTATGCGGAATTTTGCACCAACTTCTACTCATTGTAAGTTTGCACCCAAAATATGAGTCGTACTGAGAACTTAAAAAATCGCGAAAAAATCATATCTTCGTTCAAAAAAAATCCTCCGAATCTCCAATTTGCTCACAAAAATTGCATAATACATCAAACACTCATATGTACAATGCGTTTAACGGAGGGTGCGGCGTAGTGCAGTCACATACCTGCGCGAGCGCTACCATGGGCTGCAACATGCAGGGACCATGCCGCGCAAAGTGGCGCGGTCCTTGTCTTACAAGGGAATGATCAGATATCGAAGTGGCTAATCCAGACAAGCTGCATACCGTTAGATGCAGTTTGAAGCGCTGACTCTAAATCTGTCTTCTTTATCTGCTTATCGCTTTACTGGACGAAGCTGTAAGCCAATAAAGGCCAATATTTCGCTAAGAAATTATGCGTGAAAGTGAAAATTTAGCCGTACAAAGCCACGTTTCGGCTTGATGTTGGGCCAAAACATGCAGCTAACTTACCTCAAATTCTCAAAGCCTAAAGCTGAGCTGAACTTGCAACAATGTGCTCAATTTCACAGTTTTTATGTACGATTTTTCCACAATAAAACTGCTTGTAGCTTCGTCCACAGAAGCGATAAGCAGATAAGGAAGACAGATTCAAATCAGCGTTTCATACTGCATCGAATGGTTTACAGCCTGTTTGGTTTGGCCACTTCGACTTCTGACCATTCCCTTGTTAGCTACTCTTTCTGCTTCTTTTTTACATTTAGCTTATTCGCTGTCCTGCTTCCAGATTTCTGAGCTTTTGCTGTCTGAAACTCTACTTCGGCACTTCCTGAGATGTCTCAAAGTATCACCGCCAAAATGGAAGACCAATTGGAGGTCTGAGGCTTTGAAAATATGTGACTCAAGTCATTTCATTTGAGGATTCTGAGAACGGCTGGTCTTCTTTTTTCTTTTACAGATAAAAGTGAATATGTGAGATGTAATCATATATCGCAGCGGTTAAGAGAACAGATTGAGTGAACAATGTGTCGGCGCTGTTCGCTCAAACTCAAACGATTTACAATTATGTCCGCTAAAACAAGTCGATATAATGAATTATGACATCTGGAACCAGCTATCCGAAGAAGGCGTGGATGAAATGAAAGATGTCATGAGGAAAAACGTTCAAAGATTTGAAACCTCCTTCCTATGCTTCGAAAATAATCATATCTGGTATCATGACAAAACGTATGTAAGCATAGAAGCAAGAAAAATGGCAATCCGCTGCTAGAAAATGGAAAATCACGAGTTACAATGGTAAAAAACAAGGCCCGCGATGTTGTGCGCAGCAAAATCCCTGCACACTGCGCATACAGTAACGCTCGCGCGTAGATGTGTGGCTGCACCAGGCGGCGATGGCCTCTTCAAACGCATTGTACCATTCCTGTACTTTTTCTTCATCTAGAAAATGAGAAAACAAAATTTTTATGTTTACACAAAACGAAGCTTTGATGTTCCCACCATATAATTGTATACTACAATCTCTTAGAAGTATAAACATGAATTCTTAGCTTTTCATAAGTCCTAGTTTTCGAGAAATATTGATTCCAACGTGGAACAACCGGGTAGCTAAATTCGATAATTTTCGAAAACTAAGGCCTGCAAAAACAGAAAATCTACGGTTATACTTTTAAGGGTTTGTAATGTACAATTGCCTTAGTATTTTTCATTTTCTCGATATGTAAATGAAAAAATACAAAAATGAGTGAAAAAATACATATGAGTGTCTGATGTAGTGTGCAATTTTTTTGAGCAAGTCGGAGATTCGCAGGACTTCTCTAAACGAAGATATGAATTTTTCACGGTTTCTCAAGCCTTCAGTACGACTCATATTTTGGATGCAAACTTACAATGAGTAGAAGTAGGTACAAAATTTCGCATACCATCTTGTAGAGCTTGCTTTACTCTATCGAATGGTGCCGGACCCTATTGAAAATGTGAAATTCGACACTTATCGTTGTTAGAAATTAGATTGTAACAAGACTTATGTTACAAACTAATAGAATGGCCAGATTTTTTGCACATTCTCGAGGTTTATCTCACATGGTACAAAATTGTGACCATTGCTCTTATTATAATCGCGTTAGCACTTTTTATCTCTTACGCGGTTTTTCAAAGTACAGGCTGGCACATCGTGTGCAAATATTTCTTCGCGCGTGCATCACATTACTATGTTTGCCATTTCACATCGCAATTCTTTTTGTGCAAGTTTTGCTTCGACGCTGCGGGAAGGAAAGCGCTGCCCATGCATGCAAACGAATTGTGAAACTGATATGCAACTCAACACAACCTACTGAGATTTTTGAAATTTTTAGCAGAAATTCGTGGACATATTAGATGAATCGCGAAACCGAACCAGTCAATCTGAAAACGGACTAGAGCAATTAAAACGAGCTTCGACACTGTAGAAAAAGAACAAAACTCTTCACAACGGGTAAGGTGAAGCGGCCAAGTTCTGCCGCCACAAAGAAGGTGTAAAAAGACATAAGCCTCGCTTTCTGGGGCTCTTGTGCGACCGGACGCCAGCTTTGGCTGGCCTTGCTACCATTATGCTGAGGTGAGCCTCAACCCCCTTCTATTTCATTTTCCCTTTTTCTTAAGCGTTTGTTTCGTCTTTTTATTGTTTCCTCTGTAATGTATCTATTATGCCTCCTTTGTATTTCTTGCCCTTTGCACGATGTCTTGCACGATAAAACCTTAGTAATTACTAGCGTGCCGCAGCGAGAAGGAGTCACTTAGAGAGAGATCGCTTAGGTAAGCGTTACTGGACAAAGTCGTTCACACACTAAATCTTTTATTTTATTGAAACACAACTGGTTACTGCGATGGAGGCTCTGAAAGAAGCATGTGAGGGAATCGGTCGTTTGGGCGAGATCGCGCGACACAGCGAAATAAACAAGATGGAAATGGAGGAACAACCACGGGAGCCACGAGACAACCCAGAAATCAACGAACGCGAACCAGCATTCTGGCAAGCATGCAGTCGTATCGCGACTCACTCGAAGAACAACAACAAGCCAACACAAAGAACAAGCAAATAGCGCAACAGCGCGTTCCGAAGAGTGCGCATTCGTTGGATAACAATGGCAGCGGCAAATGCGGACGCATATCTCCGGAGTGCACCGGGAAATCAGACATGAGCAGAAAGAAACTGCAACTACGCTCGGAAGCGTTACTCAAAAAAGAAGTGGAAGAAGCGAAACAGAAAACGATCGAGCGTGAAATGAAGGACAAATTGGGGAACTGAGCAATGATTAAGACATGATGTGATATTCATCAACGAACGCAATGGGTTTCGCTACCCAGTGCATTTTGTGGGAACCCATTGTGTAAGACAAGCACAAGTCTCCGAGGGGTTCGCTAACCCATTACGTCAGCAATGTTTCCTCTCCAATCTCTGTTCAAAATTTCTTTCGAGACAAGTATCGCGCTAACATAAAAGCGCCAGCACATATGACACGTACTCCGGGATTCACATGTTTGGAGGATTGGACATCAAACAATGTCTTCTGTGCAACAATGTTTTGCAAGTGGCATTTTGTGCTAACTATGCCACAGTAACTGCAGTTGATGCTATGATGAGACTATTCGAGTCTCACAATATTGCAATGACCCAAACTTGGTGGAGGTGAAGGAGGGAGATGTGTTGTTCACGAATAAAATAGTCGTTACAATAATCGTTATCGAAACTATCGAGTTTGTAGGTATTTAGAATCTTGTTTGGGAGTGTCTAAGCTTGGTTGGAGCAGAGGAGAAGTTAACCAGATTTGGTGACTGCACGTAAGAGAGACGATATCACATCAAGCAAGCTCCACCTTCGGTGAAAATGTGGTCAATCTCCGAGTGAATCATTCGTTGGACGATCCCATGTCCACGTGCTCTCTAAATCGAACTTTATCTGAGTTGATTTTCGAACAGCATTCTGTGAGTTATGGTGAGTTATGGTGACCAATCAATAAAGCCAAATTAAAACTTTTGGAGTACTTCATTATTGTCATCGTTGTCCATTGTTTCTTCGGCAGCCCAAATTACAATCTTGCCACTGAGGCTGCCTCACCAGTAGCTCTTCCGAGACTGAAGGCGCAGATATGACCTTCATTGGCTACTATGATGGCGTACTAACATCAAGACGTCGAACTAGTACCAATTACTGCAAAAACTCGGTTTCAAATTGCCATTAATCAAAAAAATGTCCATTTGAGTCAAATGAAGGCTGTTGCGGACCGTTGAATTTGATTCGGCGCCCCTTCGTCAACAAAAAGACCCTTTTGATTAGTACCCTGCCAAGACGCCCATGGAACTACGATGCCTTTGGCAGGTTTTTGAATTAGTAAAGGAGGATCGCGAACAGTTTACTCTTAAAGAATCGTTATTTCACACAAGAATTAGGCTGTGGTAAAGGTTTGTGAATGCTTAGCGGCTTAATTGCATCGAATCAATTTTTAGATGAGCACTCTCGGAACAGTTTCAAATTCTCTTGCAAGCATATCTATACTGTGCCACCCGGCTCGAAAAAATCCTTTTTGCATGTTGTGTTTATCCCACACTATGTCCAGTTTGGGTACATCGCTTGCCTTTTTCTGGGTGGCATCAATCACGCTCAGGTAGTGACTTACATCCAGTGAAAGCAAGTCGATAAGATTCTTAAGGCATACGGAACTGCCCCCTCCACTCATCGGCAAGATTGTGGGGCAGTTTACCATGATATTTTGGAATGCAACCGTTCTTTCTCACTTGACTATATCACTGAATCGCGTAATAGCGATTGCATTACCATTCAAAGCAACTCAGTTGCTTACAAGGAAAACAACGATCTATATGGTACTTTTTATCTGGTGCGTCGGATTCTGCCAAGCCGTCCCTCTTTTTTGGAGTAAGTATGTTCACCTCGATAACAAGCAAAGTAACAGCAACAGTAACATGCAGGGACCTCTTGTTACATATACTACGACCGCATCAAGTGGAAATGGAGGTTTTCTAATGGTCTCTGCGGCGTCTTCTTTACTTTGAGAAAAGCAAGATTTTGTTTCTGATCATCACACCAATCTTAGATGTCGTTGCCTGGACTAAATACATCAGATACAAAAAGGTTTCATGTTGTCAATAATTTTCCGTAATTTTGCAACTTATCCTATGTCTGGTTAAGGTCACATCGGCAACCGCAGGTATATTCATTTCTAATGATGTTCAGAGAAGACGTCGTATAGAAGTCAAGTTCTTCAAACAGGTGATTTTCGAGTTACAAATGATAAAAAATCTCAATCTTCCATAATTTTCCAAAATAAACGATCTCGATTTCGATCCTTCTAAGGCCTCGGGCAGAGTTCACGCGATTTGATCGTCGCGATTCAATCGCCGCAATTTCCATTCATTTTCATTTTACATTCAAATATTTCGGGCTGGAAAAGTATCACAAACGAAATGCAAGCTGGTCGGCATGCAATGAACTCGTAACAGTTGTCCTGATCGATCAAATCGCGTGAACTTCATCGCATCGATCAAATCGCGTGAAGTCTGCCCGAGACCTATCTGAGCTAACGACGGTTTTTGTACACAGACGCTTTGCCAAAATGGAGTGTTTTTGCTGGCTTTTGTCGACTATCATTTCATAAGTCCAGTGTTCACTAATCGGTGGTTCGTAATAATGAATACCACGTTTGTCTGGCTGCTATTACACGCTCTTGACGGGTAAGCTCCATTTCTTTAGTACGCATACGAATCCTAAGCTAATTTGAAATCTTTGGCACGGTGGCTCCCAATAGCATAAAGAGATAAGAATATCGTCTATGCTAAGACAGACATAAACATGCTGTTTGGAGCATCTCTGGTGCCAAGAACTTTCAGTTAGAATTTTGACCTCATCTTGATTCATTGTGCTCGCCAAACCTCCATCGACTCACTAGAAATTTATTGTTGAAGATAATGTGTGTTCGCTCTGACCACTTCCAAATGTTCAACGTCTTCTTTACCATTCATTGCGTTGAACCACGCAATACAAAATATATGAGGCGAGAATATTTGATAGTGAGGTTAGTGGGTGATAGCGGGAGGCACGATTTTGACGAGGCGAGGCGCGGTCGATGTCTTGATCGGAGTGAAGTTAACAAAGCCAGCCCTTTCAAAAGGACACGTGTCAACTCTGCAGCTGTGACTTCGTGCAGCTGCGCATCCTTTCACGTCTTCTGACTTGAACGATCAGAATACAGATCGCGATTCCGCGATATAATGCAAAAAGATATGAAATAACAATCTAAATTATATTAGTTTGGCCCGAAAGTTCTGTCGTTTCACTTTGAAAAGTTTGTAACCTTGCGCTCTTTCAACGGATTTGCTTGCCTGTAATTTTATTAGGAAGAATAAGTCTTTCGCTTTCAAACGCCGTTTTGCGGAGCTTCTGTTTCACACTGGGTGCGGAGATGAAAATGAAAAAGTAGGATCATATAAGCTTTGACCATTTTGAGTTAGGTCACCAAAAATCTGGAACGCTGCAAAAAAATCTGAAATCGACAGTACATATGTTTTTTGCCTACTCTTTGCAACTGTGAAAAGTGCTGTTTGGACTTCTCTGTGAAAAGTTATGATTTTGGCGAAAATTGACAAATTAATTAATTTTGGCGTTTTCCATAGTAAACTCGATATTCATATTTGTCGTGCATTTTATCGGAAGCCGCAGATAGAGGCTCATCAAACCCTCAGTATATACGTCCTCTCAGTGCTACTATGTGGGAGGACAACAAATTAGAATGATAGGAGGTTACATTAGGCTTATTTATGCATGAAGGAGACTTCACGTCAGTTTCAGTCACCATTCGCTGCTGTTTGAAATGTCATATTTGTGTTCACTTAAGTATGCAAATCGAGTACTTTCGCGAAAAAAAAGAAACTTGTCGTAAACTTCTTAGGCTGCATTTGTGACGAACCCTGTGGGAAAAGAAAAAATAAGCACTTCATCAATGGTCTGGCCAGACTGCGCTATGTACGCTACATGCGCCGAGTTATGGCTTCATCTCTTATTACTGCGCAAGCTCTTACAGAATAACCAGTATAGACGTTGCCGTACTTGGAACAATCTGACAAAAACTCTTCTTCTGTCAAATCGTTTGTGTCAAGCCAATTACTTTTAGGCTCGTTATATTACTCTTCAATTTTCAAGCTTCCAAACTGAAGGCGATGATCGAAAAGCTCGTATTCGCTTTGTCCAATCTGACAGACTATCTCATTGTAAGTCATCATGTTATGATAAACAAATAGCAATCAAAGATGGCATTTGCAATGTCCTTTGCCAGTTATGTGAGAACGCTGTCTATTTTGCGGATGAAGAGGTGGTAAAGCGGGCCAAACTTCACAGGGTATAAAATCTAGCCAAGGCTGAGAATGGTTTTATTGAAGGGGGCATCATCCTTGTTTTTTTTCCAGCATTTCAAAAGTTCTCTCGTTTTCACATCATTCAGGCAGTTTCGTAAACGCCATTTGAAACGTGATGTTTATTTACGTTACTTCACTCGCCTCACTTTACTGCCCCATTCCTCAGTCCTTCAAAGTGCGCGATGAAGAATTCGGACAAAACTTTTTTGAACGCAATCCAAGTCAGTGCTGCTGCATCACAAAGTAATATGTGCTTACCGATCGAAAAACTTTCATGTACTTTCCCATATGCTCAAATCTGTAAATTTCTCCAAATTTTCAAATAAAAAAGCGAACTACTCCAAAAGCGCGGATTTTGGCGCAGGATTTTGTACCAAAAATTATGTATTTTCTCTAACTCTCAAAAAAGAGAAAAATATAGCCTCTGAATTTATAGGTAGAGCGTGAAAAATTGTGAAGCCTCACGGTGAGAGGCAAGCTTACATGCTCGTTGTAATGGAAAAAGAACTGCTATGTTCCCCGATACTCAAAGATATGTCTCGTTGTGTTGACTCCACCATGCCATGATTGGTTTGATTATTTCCTCAGTTGCGGCACATGTATTTTTGACAACACCGCGTACTGTGATAAAGCACCGTACACTCTAAATTGAGGGTCTTAACCTTTGGCATATTATGATGGTAGGGCCTCCTCTTGAGCCAATGCCTTAGTCGCGGCCATAGGTGCGATACGGGGAGCTGGGATCTCCCCAGGTGAAGGGGGTCTCTGCTGTTTCCGACCTTCCAGGGTGAAGGGGGTATGTGAGCCTAGGGGGGGGGGGGGGGAGGGAGAAAGAAAAGATAAAAAAGCGTGGTATGAAGAGCTCTAAGTCGTACCTTATTTAGGTCATGCTTGCGTTGGGGCAGAATAAGGAGGGCGAGTTACAAATTTATCTGAACAAACTTTGTCATGTGTTAGCAATATGTTGCGTCAATGTATCTTACATAAGTGAAGTTTGAATATTGTAACTTCATGAAGATCTGTGCTTCCGTTTTATTGTATCAACAAAAAACGAAAGCAATATGGTTTATCCCAAAAGATGTACAAGTTGGGAACAACTTACAATTCCTGCACATCATTATCAACAATATCACTATCGCTAACGTCAGAAACAAGTTTGCTGCCTGAAAGATCTTGTTCTTCCTCCAAAAGGTCATCGGAGTAGAAGAGTCGAAAATGGATTTGAAACGTTCTTCTTCTCTAAACGCTCTTGTGATTTTTTTCCTGGCCCTTTGGTAGCACCAGGAAAGTCAGCAGGTAAGTGACCAGTTTCTTCAGACCATCTTTTAGGATATTTCAAAAAGTCATACGGTGACATCCTGTCTGGACCACTTATAGCAATCCTTTGAACGAAGTTTTTAGATAACAATATGTTTAGTAGAAGGTTGACAAACCTCAAGTAATTGCTTAGATGCTCCACCGTTGTACGACTTCTGCATTGTGTTCTGATAACAGAGTGATAAAAAATCCCCTCTCCACCTCTGCCGTGCTAGTCCGAATGGAGACTAGCTTTGCTAGTAAGTCCATCAGTTTTTTCCGGTAAGTAATGGGGAAGCCAGATCGCATATGCTTTCGCAACACGGGAAGGAATTATTGCATTCTTTTTGGCCTTGTCGAACTCTGACTTCACCTCCTCTGGCATACGTCTTGTTAGCTGGCGAGAAAGCTGCTCAACTTCTTCTCTAACAACATCTGCGGAATAGCCGAAAAAAGTAGATACTATGCTGCGCGTTGGTTTTATTTCAATATCATAGGTCATAATGTCACAAGGCGAAAAAATTCCAGCAGCATAAAGCACAGAGTTGAGTTCGTACTTCAGTCGGGATCTAAGAGCAGTAGCTATGCTTTGTACTAGCACCTTCCTTTTGTTCATGTCCATGTTCGTGAATTTCACAGCCTTGAAATCTTCAGCAACCTGAAGATCAGCAGTGGACTTCCTGGACATCTCCTCATTGAAACTGGGCAATCTGCTTAGATGTCTGATGTACGAAATCAGATAGTTTCGCGCAATTGTCAACTCTTATCAATTTCGACAACATGTTCGTCGGCGTAAGATTCTCCTTCTGCCTCGCTGTTGAATTGGAACACATGCGAGTCATCTGCGATTTTGTAAAGTATTCTGCCGTTTCTTCCTCGGACTGCCAACTTTTCCAAAACCTTGAAGGGAATTTCAATAACATGTTCTTCTAAATGCCTCAAAGTTTTTGATTCATTGAATCCAACCATTATCCACAATTAGATGAGTCTAAGGCGTTTTCACGAGAGTGACCTTCTTCAGCACTAGGTTCACAGAGTATGGATTCCAGAAATGGGCGGGTTTTTGTGTGAAGATGTGGAAATTCACCAATTTCCCATAGTTTTTTGAGTGCGTCGTCGAGGTCAGTTTGGGCTTTCCGATTGTTGATGACTCGCCCTTAGAAGAGCAAAAAAAAATTACAGGAATTACTGGCTTAGTGGAGAGCACACCTATGCATTTCTTGACTCTGTGCCGATCTCTCCTAGCACTTGTAACTGGAATACCATGTATCTGTAAAACTTCAAGGATTTGATGACGTGCTGGACGCTGCTGCTTTCAAGCGTTCTTTACTGGCAAGATTCGCAGACTTGGATATTTTTTCCAAGGCAAGCCACACATGCTTGTACATTTTCAAGAAGCTGTGGATACCGTCTAAAATACTGAATGTTTTTATGGAAAAGCAAAAAAGATCTTGTATTAACTTTCTTCTGACGAAGTCTATCTTATCGCGATTATCCGTTTCAAGTTGATGAAGCGTTCATTTTCCAAAGTTTTGTCCATTTCTAATAGGACACGCCTCCGTGATGGAGCTGCAAAATAGAACGCAACTTGTTGAGATATGCTGTCGCAAAACTTCCTCCATTGCAAAAATGCCTCGTTGGCTTGAGCTAGAGCATCAGCTAAAGCGAGTTCAATTTTGTGTGCCATGCAGTGCACTCATATCACAGGGTCAGCCAAAACCGCATTTATCTCCTCCTGCTGCCAAGATATCTCTACGAGATTGCGATATGTTTTTATTGAGTATGCCTCGAAGCCCTCCTTGTGCACCCATTACCGATGCTCCATCCGTGGCTACCGCAACAAGATTCCAAACAAAGTCATTGAGCAACCCTGTTTCTCGAGAGTACGCATAAGTCATCTCGAAAATGTATTTACCCGTCTCAGGTTCCAACAGTTGAATCGCTCCAAGGAAGTGGGTTGTGGGATGCAACGTAGTTCGATCCGGAATACGCATAAAGAGTAAAAAGATTTGCTTGCTATCAGGATCCGTG